TTCCCAAATTGGTGTCGACCCCTTGCGGCCAACAAAAAGAGAAGGTGTCGACACCACCAAGACCGGTGTCGACACCAAAATGCAGTGAACAAATTCAGAACAAGGGTCGACCCTTCCCAGATTGGTGTTGGCCCTTGTGGCCAACTTAAAGAGAAGGTATCGACACCACCAAGACCGATGTCGACCCCAGAACATGATTTTCATGTTTCCGAACAACTTTTCAACGCGAAAAAAGTGTGAACGAGCAATCCCAACAAGTTTAAATCAATTTGTACGCCTCCAAAACCAAGGTACAACAACACTAAAGATTCCCAAAATAAAATAAAGGGTTCAAATATACTTACCAAAAGCTTTAAAGGACACAAGTGCTACAAAACTTCCACGAGCTCACAGCAGATTGTTGCTGTGACTTAGTCACAGTGGCACCCTAGGTTCAGTAAATGACCAATCTTCAAATTTAATGACATTTGGAGGAGAAATTATTAGGTGCCCTAGGTGCTCCTTCTAAGATTTAAGGTTCAAAATCTAAGTGTAAATAATTTATTAGAATTAATCTATATCGAACAAAGCCCTAGGTTTAATTTATGTTATGTTATTTTTCAAAATAAAATTAAAAATCACACTCTCTATCAATCGTAATATTAATAGATACTAGGGGTGGGCACGGATCGGTTGCGGTCACAGAATCTTCAATCCGTCATCCGTCTAGATTGAAGAAAATCAATCCGCATCCGTCCGTCAATCTGTAAATTTTCAACATAATTCAACATGTGCACTTCCTCAAAATAAATAAATAAATAAATAAAAATATGCACTTCCTTCCTCAACCACCACCTGTGTGCAATGCATATATATACTAAGTTTACAAACACTGTGCAGTGGGCAAACATTGTACATACACTGTCATATTTACAAACACCTATGTCTTTAATATTTTATTTATTTATTTTTTATTTTTGTAAGAATCAAATATGTCACATTTAATTACAAAAAAAAAAGAAGAAAAAAAATAATACAAGTACAACCATGGAATACATTCAATACTTTCATCACAGATGAATCAAACAAAAAAAACTCAAACATCACATAAACTAGTTGGGAGTGATAAATTCAATGAACTGTATTTGCATATTAAAAATTTACGAAACAAAATTGACCCAAAAAAAAACTATTGTCAATTGACTCAATTCGCATATGAGTCACGACAAACAACAAAAGCAATAGTAAAGGACGACATAGCAAAAAGTAGATGATGCAATTCACCAAACATGAAAGAAGGAAAAAATAAAAAAAAACTCAGAGCAAAATTGTCACAATAAATAATCAAATACAAAAACACAAACATCGCAGAAACCAACTAGGAGTTATAAATTCAAGTGAGTATATTTGCATATTACATATTTACAAAACAAAATTGAAGTAGAAACACTAATTACTGAAAAAATGATAAATAAATAAAAAACAAAAACACAAAACAGTGTCATGAGGACACACTGTTGCCGATTGCGCAATCAAAGACAAGAAAAGAAGGGAAGATAAAAGAAGAGAAGAATACCTTCGAATCGATGATTCGATCGCTGTTCGTAGCCATGGTCACCGATTACGGACCGCCGATCGTTGATCATTGCTAGCTACCACTGTCGCCGCTCGCCTTCATTTAAGAGAGAGAGACAGACAAATAGATAAACAAAGACATACAAACAGTGTTATTTCAAAACCTAGGGCTTTACAAACTTGAAATGAAATGAAAAAAATTGGGGCAAGACAGAGGGAAAATGGAGGGAAATTAAGTGGTGGTGAGCGGGTCGGGCAAGGCAATGAATTTGGCGGTTTACCCATGGCTCGACCCGTACACAAGAAAATGATATTTCTGGGCCCGTATCCGCCCGCCATGTGTCATGTATCCACCCAAAAAACGTGTCGGGTCAGGTCGGGCGGATGTGGCGGGTTGGTCCATCCACTATTAGGGGGTGCGTGGTGTGGTTTGGGCGGTTTGAGAGTAAAATTACAAATCGAATTGCGGGTTAGTGGATTGACAAATTGCGGTTTGGGCGGATTGAAAAATATTCTAACTAATTATCATATATTTGCATAATATATAACACTAATTTGTATAATATTTTTTAGATATATAACACGAAATAATTTTACATAATATGTTTCATATATATAACCACTAATTTGTAATAAATTTGATATCTTAAATATTTTTCACACTCATTTTTATGTTGATATTTTATCGAAAGTTAAAAAATATATATGTATTAACTATAGCGGAGCAGAACGGTTCGATTGGCGGATTATAAATTTTAAAGTTTAAACCGCGGTTAGCGGTTAGAGTGGTGCGGATTAATGTGGATTGGCAATATTTTGCACAGTCCTATCTGCTGCATATCCCTAATAGATACCACGGGGTGTACTAATAAGTACACTTTTTTATTTTTTTTAGGTCACTTCATCTCTCTATTTTTCTGCATATCTTTTCGTAAAAAATAAAAGAGTACATTTATTTAGATTATCCCAAACCAACTAAATTATTTGCCTTATTCACCCCATATTAAACTTAGGTTTGTTTTAACAATCAATTTTGATAATTCGAATTGTTCACATTTTAAGATTTGTCGAGTAAATCATACTTGTAAAAAATCAAATCGAACGGATATCAGAAATTATGTGTTAGGATCATGGAACTAAAAGTTTTATTAAAAATAAAACTGTTTATTAAGGCCAAGTTTGGCATACACAAAATAATCCATCTTTTTGTCTTTTTATTTTTTTTCCATCACATCACCTCTCTACTTTTCTGCACATCTTTTCGTAAAAAGACAAAAAGTACACTTATTTAGGTCATTCCAAACAACCCCTAAATGTTTGGGTAAATTACAAATACACCCCTGAAGTTTAATTAAAATACGAATCGCCTCTTGTGGTTTTGGAAATTACATTCCACCCATTGAGATTTCTAATTTTATAACAAATCGCCCTTTTTAATAATAAATTATCAAGTTAATTAACAATTTTTGATGATGTTAGAAATATGTTTTAATTAATAATTTAGGTAATTTTATTATTGTATAGGAGAACAATTATAAATTTTATTTTTTTAGTTAATTCTGTTAAATAAAAAATACTAACAAGGAGGTATTTATAATTTTTTAAACCATATAGGACAATCTGTATTTAAAACAAATCTCAAGAAGTGTATTTGTAATTTACCCTAAATTTTTTTAATAAACAATTTTTAATTTATTGATCTGAACAGGTGATTTTTAATATCCAATCAACTTAAATTTTTATAAATATAATATATTTAATAAATTTTAAAATATAAACAATTTAAATTATCAAAATTAGGAAAAAAAAATGGCCCATTAAGAGCATCTCCAACGGTGTACCAAATGTTTCACCAAATCTGAGTAAAAAATGGGTCATTTCCTTAATTTGATACTTCGCGCTCCAACGGTTCAATATCAAATCCGTTTCATCAAATTTGCGCTGGGCAACCGGTTGGTTGACCGGCCGGTCAACCGGTAACGGCAAAAATTTTTTTTTTTTTACCGGTTTGAACCTTTTTTTTTTGAACTTTTTGAACTTTTGGTGGTCGACCGGGTGGTCAACCGGCCGGTCGACCGGGTGGTCGACCACCTAGGCAATTTTTTTTTTTTTTTTTTTTGGGACTGGTTTCAACCTTTTTGTGAACTGTCTGAACTTTCTTCGGGGCGACCGGTTGGTTAACCGGTTGGTCAACCGGATGGTCGACCCGTTCGTCTCATCCCAACGGTTAGGAACAGTGATTTGGTGAAATGCTTCGCCTGCACTGAGTTTGGTACCATTTTTGCTGAATTCTGGATTTGATATCGATTTGGTGAAAACGTTGGAGCTTAAAAAAGTGACTTTTTCACCAAATTTTAAATTTGATGCCAGGTTTAATTTACCGTTGGAGATGGTCTAACCTATCAAGGACGGAACCAAGGAGAGAGACGGATGGATCCTTGCTCCCACAATGACCAGCTCGATTGACATGTGTCGTTGTACCATTGACTTGGCGGAGCCACCAGAGCGAGAAATTTCGTTCAAAAAACAAATCATTACCGCAATTCGAGAGAGAGAGCAAGAGAGAGAGTTTTCATTTTATTTGAATTAATTTGAGTTTCATTTCACACTTCTTCCATTCCACCTTCATTATTATTATTATTATTAGAATTAATTTGAGTTTCATTTCACACTTCTTCCATTCCACCTTCATTATTATTATTATTTTATTTTTATTTTTTTTAACAAACACACTTTTCAGACTTAAATTATAAATTATCTTCTAAAATTTTTAAATTTATATTGTACTTTTAAAATTTTTAATTTCATAATAAATAGATAATTTTATTAATAAATCATAAAATTAATTAACAATTTTTAATAATATTAAAATTTTATTTTAATTAATAATTCAGATAATTTTATTATTGTATAGGTGAACAGTTAAAAATTTTATTTCTTCAATTAATTTTGTTAAATAAAAAATTTTGACAGGAAAGTATTTATAATTTTCGCATAAAGCAATTCGTATTTTAAATAAATTTCAAGGATGTATTTATAATTTACTCTTTTTTTCATCTTCTATTATATTATGAGTAAACACTTTCTAAGATTTGATTAAAATACGAATCGCTCTTTCTAATTTTAAAAATTTTATTTCACTCTTGAAAATTTTAATTTAATAACAAATTTTCATTTTTATTAATAAATTATTAAGTCAATTAATTTTTTTTAATAATATTAAAAATATATTTCAATTAATAATTTAAGTAATTTTATTTTTATATAAAAGAATAATTATAAATTTTAATTTTTTAATTAATTATGTTAAATAAAAATTTTTAACAACAATTTACACTTCAAACCTTCAAACCACAGGGAATAATATTTATTTTAACCAAAAAAAAATCTGTGTATTTGTAATTTACTCTAATATTATTATACATTAATATATATACTTATATATAATTTTCTCATTTTGAAGAGCGAGAAAGAGAACAAAGATCCGAGATTCGTATGAATGGAGTCGAATCTCGGAACTAGAAAGTGATCAGAAGAATGCCTGTCTGCGGCTGACGATCCGAGGATTCAAAAACCCCATCGAAAAGAGAAACCCTAATTTCGTGATTTCTGATGCTGGATCGATTAGATTGAATCAAAATCTTGGTAGGTAGGAATCGATTAATCCTTTACTTTTTGCTCCGATCTTCAGTCTCTGATCGATCGGTGTTTCAGATCGGGGGGAGAGAGAGAAAGAGAGAATGCCTTCACACGCGGATCTGGATCGGCAAATCGAGCACTTGATGGAGTGCAAGCCTCTAACGGAAGCTGAGGTCAAGACGCTCTGCGAGCAAGCTAGGGCTATTCTGGTTGAGGAATGGAATGTACAGCCGGTGAAGTGTCCTGTCACGGTGTGTGGTGATATTCATGGACAGTTCTATGATCTGATCGAGCTGTTTCGGATAGGAGGAAATGCTCCGGACACCAATTATCTTTTCATGGGTGATTATGTCGGTGAGTCTTTGACAATTTCAAGTATATTTTGTTATATGATTGATTCGGGGGGCTGTTGTTTTATGTGATGATTAGGGTTCGAAGTTGGGATTTTGGTTTTGTAGCTCAGAGAGAGAGAGAGAGAGATAGAAAAAAAAATGTTTGGTGCTCTGTAAATGGTTTAATGCTTATTGATTATTGGATATTGGAATGACATTTGTTGGTCCTATTATGTGTTTTGTTTTTCTACAAATATATCAGGATGTCATTTTCTGTCTAATTTTTTGCATATGTTAGCCTTAGGAGTAAATTGGGAAAAAGGGTCAAAGTTGGGGGGGGTGGGGGGTGTGGCGGCGATGAACACTTCAAGGGTTAATGGGAAAATGGTTAAACATAAAGGGGGCAAAGTGCAATTTACCTAATTAACAAATTTATCTATCGGAGGAGGTGATGACTCGCAAAGAGGAATTAACTAAAGTAACCATGTTAATCACCACAAGGCTACTAAAGATTATAGTATCCGAGTCTTACGTGGAGGTGCTTAATGTTTACTTTGTGACAATTTACTATTTCTCTGGAACTTGTGTGATTATTGAATTTGGCTCAAGATTGTGCTTTGAATTAGATTTGAGGGTATTGCTAGGAATATCGTGTGGATATCCATATTTTGGGGGTCACAAACTCATTGAGTTGAGTTTCATTTATTTTTTCCTTTTGAGCTGCTATGATTTTAGATAGGCTTGTTTGTGAGGTTAGAAAAGGTGGTACTTAAATATTGTTGCATCTACTTCAAGTAATGGGACTTTAACACTAAATTTTTTCATAAGATGGCTAATACTCACAGGAGGTCCAATTTCATTAGTAGTTTGATCGTTGAGAGGGGAGGAGAATACGTCAAGAGATCTCAAATGGGATGGTGGATTTCTACACCAATCTGTATGGATTTTTCCTCTATTAAAATGATGATAGAACTTGGATGAAGAGACCATTTTTTGAGGGGGGAGGTTGTGGAGGTTTTGAAAAGTTGTAATCAGGAGAAGGTGTCAAGTCCAGATTGTTTCACCATGGGATTTTTGTAAGGGGGAATTACACTACAATGTATATTTTTAAAAATATTTTCAAATCAGTGGTAAAGTTTATAAATATTAATAATTAAATTCATAAACTTTTCAATTTATCTGTGAATATTTTGTAAACATCTAACTGATGTGTAATTTCTCCTTTTTGTAATGGCGGTCTTTCAATTTTTCTTTGGGCGTGCGACTTTTGGAAAGAGTTTAATGCTTCTTTTATAGTCCTGGTTCCTAAGAAGGGCGAGGCATGTGATCTGAAGGACTTCAGACTGATTAGTTTGGTGGGCAGTGTTAGCAAGCTTGTATCCAAGGTTTTGACATCGAGATTGAAGAAGGTGATTTATGAGAGCCAGAACTCTTTTTTGAGGGTAGGCAGATTTTGGATGCGGTTTTGGTCATGAATGTGGTTATGGATAGTAGATTGAAGAGATCCATCGCAGAATTATTGTGCAAACTAGACATTGAAAGGCTTATGGCCATGTTCGGCATTTCTCATGTCATTTATGCAAAAGGTTAGATGTGGGGAATGTTGGAGGGGTTGGATTTGAATTTGCCTATCTATAGTGCTGTTCTCAATTATGGTTATTGAAGTTTCTTGTCTATTCTTTGCTAGTTGGAGAGGTTTGAGGTAAGGGGACTCCCTTTCCCTTCTTTATTATCATGATTATAGAGGCTTTTAGTTGTATGCCAGAAACGGTGGTTGAAGTCAGACTCATTCATGACTTTGAGATTGGCAACATGGGTGTTCATTAGATGATGGTGTCCCATCTTTCTTTGTCGATGATAGACTCCTTTATTTTTATGATGCTAAGGAAGAGGAGCTAAGGTGGCTTAGATGAGTATTTATATGTATGCATATTAATGATGCGGATGTGGGTACTGTAATATCGAGTGGTTGTGACAATGTGGTGTCGTGTGGATTCATTGCCCACTTCATATTTAGGGATGCCTCTTGGAGCATTGTTTAAAGATAAAACAATGTGGGATGGAGTGGTGGAGAGGTGTGAGAAGAAGTTTGCTACTTGAAATAGACCGTATCTATCAAAAGGGGAAAGATTGACTCTGATTGTCTATCCTTACTATGCCTTCTTTAGTGTCAAAGAGATTGGAGAAGCTGCAAAAGGACTGTTTGTGTGGAGGTGTGGGGGGTGAATTTAAAAATCATCTGGTGGGTTGAGGCAAGGATTGCAAGCCTATTCAGATACTGGTTGCATGGATTAGGATATAATATGGTATTAGAAAGAGTAGAAATTTGAAGGAGGATGCATGTGACCTTGGTAAAACAGTTAATAATTTGGGATAAAACCTTGATTGTGATCAAGTTGCAGAAGGAAATCCATGTTTACTGTCATAATAATACTGTGTGGGTATCAGTTGAATGGTCTTGAGTATTTTTATTTAGATCTCTGAGAAGGCAGTAGTTATGCTTTATGTTTTTGCTAGGGAATCAAAGAGATAGATTTTTCTGTTGCAATTTTTGGAACTTGTTATTGTTTGCTCTCTAGTGCTGCAGTTTGAGATTTTTATGCTTCTTGATTTTCTAGCATTTGTTGACTATTATTCTAATAATGCAGATCGTGGATACTATTCAGTGGAGACTGTCACACTTTTAGTGGCTCTGAAAGTTCGTTATAGAGATAGAATTACGATCCTTAGAGGAAATCATGAAAGCCGGCAAATTACTCAAGTGTAAGACCTTTACTTTTTCATGAAGGCATATTATAATTGTTGTTAATGCATTTGGTAGCGAAAAGTTGAAGTATTGGATAATGTAAATGCATTTGGTAATCAAATTAGAAGAATTTGTTTTTCGTTCTTAGAAATGTTAGATGCCTCTGTATTCTTTATGAGGGCCTTATGTTTTTTGTACTTCTAGTTTTACTACAAAGGTAATGTATGTAGATGACATGAAATTTTGACTATATTTTCATTGTTCCCCCCTCAAGAATTTAGACCACAAAATTGATCATATATATGTGACTAGCAGTTGGCACACACAATGCATGTGCAATTTGAATAAATAAAAATAAAACAAAATATTTGTGCATCACTGAAGTGGTAAGAGTCTTCTTCCTTAGACTCAAGATCCAAGGTTCAAGTCTTACTCCTCCCATCTATCTATTTTATTTTTAAATAGAAAAATGAGGGACACGTGACATGAGGAGAAGCAAGGAAAGGCTTGGACACCAAGTCCAACCTTCACTTAATATATCACTAGCAGTTGGCACACGCGATGCATGTGCAATTCAAATAAGTAAATATAAAATAAAATATTTATTATATATTGTATGGTAGTCAAGTGGTAAGAGTTTTCTTTAGCAAATCTAAAGTCCAAGGTTCAGGGGCCCACTCTTACCATTTATCTATTTTTTTATTCTAGAAAAATAAGGGACACGTGGCATAAGGAGAAACAATCAAAGGTTTGGACACCAAGTCCAGGTTTCACTTAATAATAGTATAGATAGATAGATAGGTAGATAGATAGATATGAAGATTCATTTGAAAGAGAAGGGCGCATTGCGTCCCGATACTGAGGTTGAATGAATCATTCCACCTGAACCCATAGGGCGAACCAACAGCAAAAATAGAGTTTGGCACAGGTCAAAGGGGAAAGCAATGTGTGATGTCACCACACAAATATGCATCATTGTGAAAGGGTTGGGGCAGGGGGTTTGAATACTGAGGGCCTTCCACCTTGCAATGCTTTGTACGAGAATCTATTTGAAGAGAATTCAGAATGCCAGTTTGATTTTTTGAATGGAATAAATGATGTTGTTTGTGATCCTACTATATGCATTTGCATATTTCCTTGTATGTACATGGGAGACACCCTTTTTTCTTTCCTTGAAAAAACAACTTAGTCATAAAAAATAAAAATAAAAGAAGTTCTCAAACGTCTGTGTACTACCAAAGTTGAAGGGGGATGAAGTAGTGTAACAAAATGTTGAATGGCAAGATGGATGCTTTGCTTAAAGCATGCATGCCTTTTTGAATTCCACATCTTGAAGGTATTAATTCATGTGTTACTGATAGAAAAAGGTATTAATTCATATGTTTGATGTGTAAATATGCTTTTTGGCAGGGGAATCATAAAGTCAATACTTCATGCACATCTCCAGGCTATTAGCAAATGAGCATCTATGTTAGTGAAGGGATCCTTTACCAGATAAAGCTACTTAATGATTTTTCTCTTTAATTTGACCCATGCATTGTGAAACTATAAGAAATTTTTAACAACTTATGCTTGATGCACTGTCATGGGCTGAAACTAATGACACCTTAAATTTCAACTGATCAGCTTCATAGAGCCTTATTCACCTGTCACTCTACTAGAGTTTGACTTTTTATTACATAACATGCCATCTCTTCTCACCATCATTGTCTGCATGTTCTCCTTGTAATGCCTTCAACTTGAACCAAATTATGAAAAATTGCAATCAGTGGCATTTTTGCATCAATCATCACATATGATTTTCTGTTTGTTTGTTCTCACTTTGAACTGTTTCTAGTTTGCTTGTATGATTTAGTTTACATTCCTTCAATACTTAAGTATTCATTTAACCCTATTTTTTCAATATCCTCACTCATTTTGGTTGTCGTGTCTTGCTTCTCCAATTTTTGTACCATTCATATGATCCAATTTACAGGTGACTTTTAGAACTCTTCCTTTGTGTTGATGGGGCATTTTATAATATGACAACCATGGGGAATGCTTCTTTACTTCAATTTAATTCTAAATCTATTGAGTATCAACAATTTCATGTTCTTTCTCTCATTTGTGGATCTTGATTATATGTTAACGGAAAAATGGACACCTTATGGTATTTGATACTTAATAATAACTTGAACCCTTTTCAATCTTATGTTGGTTGCACCTCATGTATTTAAGATTAGTCTTGCTCATAATATTCAATTTTAAGTAATTGGAATTAAGTCTTGTTGAGTTTGAGTCACAAAGTTTCCATAATGCCCTAAATTGTATAACATTATTTTATTTGCATGGAAGCCACACTTTGGAGCACGGTTTGGGTTGTCTACTAAGTTCATAAATAGCCTAAATATCAACCTTTGATGGAAACCTGTGATTGAAATTTTATTTCTGATCTCTAATTGTTTCAAAGCTTGTAATTGCTCATATATATGTTCAATCTTGAAGGAAAATGTTAAGTTCAGGCTGCCCCTCTATTTATAGAACCTATGAAACCACTTTTTTTTAGTTTTAAAGTAGGGAGGCTTTTATGCCAAACATTTTCATCTATTGCCTTATTTTTATTGATAACCAAATGTGTTTAATCCTCGTGTAGAAACCATGCCAACTTTTTCATGTTGTTTCTTCAACTCTATCACTGTCAATATCTTACACTGCTACTATTTATCTAAAAAATAATAATAATAAAATAAAAAATTGATGGCATGAGAGTTGTTATAGATAGTTTTAGAGATGGAGCATGTGTTACAGCTGGAGCTTGTAATACCAAGGAGGACAACTGAATTGAAAGTTGAGATGATCTGATTATGTGCCAAAAAACAAATACTACTACAAGAATAAGGACTGATGCCTTGTAGTTATGGGGCTGCAAAAACTATGAGAAAGCTTAAAATGTTATTGTTTGAGATAAGTCATAACTTTGATGATGACCAACCAGTCGAGAGACATTTATTTAGATAGAACAATATCACAAGATTCAAAACAAATTCATGTAGCTTTGCCTATAATTTGGAAAGGTATTTCACTGTGTCACACAGCTGCTACCATAGTTTCTTGTAAGTTACAAAATACTATAACCTCGTTATTATTCATAATGTTTTCTTCCTTTGCTCAGGTATGGATTTTATGATGAATGCTTGAGGAAGTACGGAAATGCTAATGTCTGGAAGTATTTTACCGATCTTTTTGATTATCTACCCCTTACAGCACTGATTGAGAGTCAGGTTTGAGTTGTACATTGTACAGTCATTTCACAATGATTATTCCTATACCATTTCTGACAGCTATATAATTTTTCATCCTAGATTTTCTGTTTGCATGGAGGACTTTCACCATCTTTGGATACATTGGACAATGTCCGAGGCTTGGACCGTATACAGGAGGTACGTGAACAATCGTTGTCATATGAGCTCTTTGTAAATCTAATCGCTGTACATTGCCATGGCATCTGTTGCTTTTTATACTTTTATTGATCTGAGACCCTTCTTTGCAACAAAAACTCCTCAAAAAACTCCTCATGCACCTGGCTGCCTTTTTCTTTTTATTAGAGAAGGGGGGTGGGGAGGAAAACATCTGAATTTTAATTCTCTGCCGACCCATTTGCTAATAGCAGCCTGTTTGAACAATTATATGCATACTCTTAAGTTCCCATGGTTTTCTAGTAATCATGGTGTATGTGATATTCAATTTTCTTTTCATGAAATTAGCTAGTCAGCATTACTTAATGATTGTTTGTGGGGTTGGTAGGTTCCACATGAAGGACCAATGTGTGATCTCTTGTGGTCTGATCCAGACGACCGTTGTGGATGGGGAATATCTCCACGAGGAGCTGGCTATACGTTTGGACAGGATATAGCGGCTCAGTTCAACCATACCAATGGGCTTACTCTGATTTCAAGAGCCCACCAGCTTGTCATGGAAGGCTATAATTGGTGTCAGGTTTGTGAAGTTAAAATGAGATAAACAACTCGTGTGTCCTATTTGCTTTGTCTATTTACTCATGTTAACTGTATATATTGTTGCTATTTATGCTTTTTCTATAGGAAAAGAATGTGGTGACAGTATTTAGTGCCCCTAATTACTGTTATCGGTGTGGGAATATGGCTGCAATACTAGAAATTGGGGAGAACATGGAGCAGAATTTCCTTCAATTTGACCCGGCACCTCGGCAAATTGAGCCCGACACGACACGCAAGACTCCCGATTATTTTTTGTGATCTAAAAAAGACCTCAATAGACTGTTTGCAATCCTTGCTTGCCGTTGTGTCACTGTAGATGTCTTTTTAAAAGAGGACTTTTTGTTGTTTGCGGGTTATTGTCAACGTGATTCTTTTGTTTCGAGTTTGGCCTCTGCTGCTGACTTTGATTATATCATCTTCTGCTCGAGAAACTCAAGAAAATTGATGACGGCACGGAGTCTTTTTTTTTTTTTTTTAATTTCTTGTATATTTTGGAGAGAGGAGGAAGCAGCAATAACACGGTATATTGTGTTCTGTAATTTTACAATTTAAGGTAGAAAAACCAGATTTCAGAATGGATGTGTGTCAGTTGTCCTTTTTCACTGACAATTGGCGGTTGAGAATGCAAATGCAAGGAACAACGGTAATAATTTTTGTTTACTATTGTTGGATTTCTCTTTTTGAGAGATCCTAGTCAACATTTGTTTATTGATGAGAGAGCATGAAAGAGACATAAGTTGTGAGATTTTACCAAAAAAAGTTATGTGATGAGGTCTGTTTTCCGGTCCCAGAGTGAAGGGATTGGTTTCTTGAAGTACAACCATTTTTTTGAAACTCACTCAGATTCATTTTTCTGATCTTATACTAGTTATTGCAACTAAAAAAATGTCAGCACATGCTGTGGATTATGTTTTGTTTGGGTTATCTTGTTCTCATGTGGTCATCAAATGATTCAGCTAAGTAATGCGGCTTGCCTATTGGACAAGAACTCTTGCATCTCCCTAAGAGATCGAGGTTTCGATTCTTGCCACCCGAGTTTTTCTGCACCTTGTAGTCATTGGGAGATTCTTCTTGTATGATTGTCAAGGGTTTGTATGCCTCTGGTAACCTTGTCTCACCAATTGCAAAATCTTACTTGCCAAGTTACCTTTTGAAATCCTAGCTTTAGGAGAAATAGATAATGGAAAACAAGAGATAGGCACACATTGTTGGAATCAGCCTTGGACGATTGTGGGTCAGGAGCGACTATTTAGGGTAAAGTATGTTTTTTCCTAAAAAGAGGTATAACTCTTTTGTAGATTTATTATATGCTTGATTGTCTAGTTTAATAATCAAGCGTTGTTAATAGTTTTCACTCTTTTACTTTGAACCACTTACTTCTTTGGATCCTTATCTACCAAAATTGATTCCCTTTTTGGAACCCCTATCATAATCCCAAAGTACCTCTTGTTTGGACCCTCAACATTGCTGCCAACTTTCCTTTGAAAGCATTACCCCTTACACCACCTTTCCTCCAACAACCCTCCTTCCTCGTCACCCCCACCTCCAGCTGTTGCCACCACCACCTCTAATGACTCACCCTAGCCCTCTCCCATTCTCTCTAGACCCACCCCAGCCACTTAGCTTCACCTTTACCTGTGGTTGCCTCCCTAGCCCTCTTGCCGCTCTGGCAACCCCTTTTCACCTTTGTGAGGCCCTTTATGCTTGAACTATTCTCCACCCTTGCAACCCCCAAAATCGACACGAGAGAGAGAGAGAGAGAGAGGCTCACAATAAGTAAGGTTGGTGATGACATGCCTGGGTGAATGGAAGGGGTGAATGATGGTGGAAAGGATCGTTGGAGCTGGGATGGGCTGGAAAGGTGTTTGGTCCGAGCTAGCAAGAGTGGAGTGGGCTTAGGGTTTGAGAAGATAGGGATAAGAATAAAATGGGAATTTCATGTTAATAGGAAAAAAGAAAAAAGAAAATGGTGGGATCTAAAAATGAAATGTGAGTGCTATTAACACTATTTTTAGTTCTCGTTTGGAAACATGTTATTTTAATAATTTTTTGATTTTTTACGAAAAATAATGTACAGAAAAATAAATGGAGTGATATGACAATTTATAGTGACTTTTTAATTTTTTTTGACTAAAATATATAATTAACAAACGAAACTTTAATAATCTCATGATATTTGAAAAGGTAGATCTATTTCCATTTTTCAAGTCATATCCCAAACGTGTGGGGTAGACTTTGAGATAGAGGACAACGAAAATGGAGACTACGAATGGATCCTGTGTCCCAAACAAGCTATGGAAAATTGGAAGCGCTTATGTTAAAAGTTAATGAATAATGATAAGAAAGAGTAACAGAAACTACAAATTTAAAACGAAAGAAGAAACATTTCTATGTAAAAGAAAGAGAACAAAGGAATGAACCAAACTGCAGGCAGAATACACGTGGTCATCAATACACTCTAACAATTCACTGTCATCAATACTGCCAATCAGTTGGGACTAAGCTTCAAATACTAGAGGAAAAAAAAAAAAAGAGTTAAAACCTAGAGTTTGTTGGAATTCTCATAGCTCCAACTCCTGCCGCAACACTGCTCTGTTTTCGCCTGAAGTATATAAGTGAACTGCTTATCAACAAAAGACCCAAAATAATGCCCTGTCCAAAGTGGTTCAGAAAATGCATCAGGACAAGAAGAAAGAAATCAGTATACACCAAAAAACATAATCATCTTGTTCATATGAACTAATAAAATCAAGATTACTTGCACTTTGGGACATGGAGTCAATGAATATGATCAGAGTACAAAACTGAATTACTAATGTAAAGTGAAAAACTGATAACAAGTCAATGACACTACCAGTAAAGAAATTAGACTAAGAAATTTTATCTTCCAAAATAATCTTTTCTTTTCTTTTCTTTTTTAAATTCAACTGAGGATGACATTGTGTATTTTCAAGTTTATAATTCCTTCACTTGAGGCCTCTCCTTCAATTTCTCGATGTTGTCAATGATTCTCAGAGGAAGTGAGAAAAAAAAGGCTTGGGATGATGTCTCCACAATTAAATTCCAGGACCAAACTTAAAAAAGATTTGTTGGAAATGGGTAGTTTTCACAATTGATTTAGGCTACTGTGTGATGGCTAGTGAGGTAGTCAGTTATAGCCTTCTGGGAAGATGGCTGACACATAAATAGCTTGTGGCAGGCAGAGGAGGAAAGAGTCAAGGCAGCCTTAGAGAGAAAGAAGATGGCAGTGAAGAAAGACCGTTCAATGAAGAGGAGAGGCAAGATGATCATCAACCTTGTGCCCTCGCTTAGGCTAGACATCTACTTAGAAGGCGTTGTGGCATCCAGAGGACCTGCCACGTGGAGACTATTTCCAAGGTGGAAAAAATGTGGGGCCTGCCACGTTGCGAGGGTGATCCATAGATAAATGATTTAGATTTTAGTGGAATTTGAAAAGATAGAAAATAGAAAATTTGTTCTTCCATTGAATGAAAAAATTAATTAATTAACTTATAAATCATAAATAGATTGCATACATGCATAGATACAATACAACACACACAAAAAAAAACCTTTTTGTATTTTTTATAATTAACCACAAAAATTGAATATAACTAGGTATAAGATACTTATTCTATAATATAACTTCAGTGGACCAATTAGCAAAAGCCTACATCAGTAATAAGTAGGGCTGTGCAAAAACCCGAATCACCCGCCTAAATTGATCAATCCGAACTCAAAATTCAAGAATTGGACGGTTTCAATATCATGGCGGTCGGCTGAGATGCATTAGACTGAAGAATTTCAATTTTTCGGATGGGTAACGGTTCCATATGCACCCCATCACCTGACACGAAATCTTATCACATTCTCTCTCTCTCTCTCTCTCTCACGTGTTAACTTCTCTCTCTCTATCCTTCGTCTCTGACCCACACTTATCACACTCTCTCATGTTAACTTATTCTCTATATCAGTCTCCAATCTCCCTCCCTCTTCTCTGCTCAACTTCTCTCTCAACAATCTATGAGTTGATGATGAAAGAAAGAATCCTAGATTGCATGATTTTTGAATGCTCATGGTGGATCCTCTCCCTTTTCCACTGAAGATGCTGAAGTGTGGGTTTGATGTTGGGTCCTGAATCTCTAGATCAATGACACTGACAGTAAATCTGTGGTGGGTCCAAACTCAAGTGTCCCCTCTCTCTTCCATTGTAGAGTAACATAGTAGATGAATCTGATTCTTTTCTAGTCTTCCAATTTTTATTTTTCTTTACACTATCTCTCAGATCTATATAAGTATGTGCATTGTGTATATATATAGATATATAGATGAATGTATGTATATGTATAAATTTGGGTTTAAACTTCAAAGAGAAAGGTAAAAGAAATGATATGTTTGATTTTTCTCCAGTGACGCAACTGAAATCCGACCATCAAACTGAATGAAAGTAACGGTCGATTTCGAATTGTAATACAGTCGGTAGTGGGTGATGAAATCTTCAACCCAAGGTAGTCAGTTTGGGTGGTGGGTCAGTGGCAAACCCAACCCGTGAATACCCCTAGTAATAAGTGCTTGTACAGTTAAAAATGTAGATTCATCCAACCAAAAAGCAAGACATAGTTAATTTGTCAGCTCAGCCACGGAGCATGGACCCAGGGCATGGTAGCGGCATACCAGTTGCACACTGATGCGACAAGTGCAACATAGAAGTGATTATAACACATCAATGTACAACCAACCAGCAATAGTATATGTTTATGTATACATACTCTGTATGAGTCTTAAACAGAATAAATATGTAGCTTTCTTTTCTATTTAGATTTTTTGATAACTAAACAAATATGTAACTGGATATATTAAATTTTCCACCAATTGCATACTCAAAATACAATGCCCAAAAAATGTCATTAGACATAATTTTTAATTTAATGTATACAACAGAGCAAGAAAAAGAAAATGGGAATAAAAAAAGATTCATTTAATATTGCATGTCTATAATTTCTTATACCATAAACTTTTCAAGCATATTCCAGCTGCATTAATGTTAAATGCTTTCAAGCACATTCTTATCCATACTAATATTGCATACTTGACTTTTTATGACCATGTGAACAAAAAAAAATTTCTTTCTAAATGAATTCTATATGCATTACTTTAAGATCAGGTTGTGTCCCAAAGTACGTACCATACATGGGATACGATGTTCTTCTTGTTTTTTTTTTTTTTTTTGGTATATTGACAGCCGTAGCTTGGGGGAGGAAGACTCAAACCCTTATCTCCTAGTGACATACAGGGGTTCTAGCAAACTAGGCCAGTCCCAGTTGGTTTATAATGTTCTGAAATGCAGGAGATAGTGGCAACCCTAGTTTGAACATTCCTTCCCAATTGCTTGGTCATGGTGACTTACCTCCCTAATCCTTCATTTCACCTGCTCCCTGGCAAACTTCATAAGATGCAGAGCTGAAATGTAGGGCCCTCTATCTCTCACTCTCTAAAACTCCAGTCATAGGCACTTGCATGGTAATGTGTACAGAGAAACAGTTCCATGAATACAAGGAAGCATTGCCAAATTTTTTTAGTTTTAAGTTCTTAAAATAATTGTTCTCAATCATGGATGGATAACAGTTAGCTGTCACCACCAGTCCCACCATCATGGATGGATAACAGTTAGCAGTAAAAGACTTAAAAATAGAATTCAGGGCCATGTTCTGCTCAAAAGGGATTTAATAACGGAATGTTTCGCAGAAAATGAGATTCAGTCACACTCCTAAGTGTACTAGTGAACTCTTCAAACTGTTAAGTACTAAAGATGATACATTTTGTAGAAATCAGTAAAGCATTCAGTTTTCCGGTACATTTGGGGGCTTGACCAGCATATTTGTGGAGCGTGACCAAATCTCATATTTTGCATAACATTTCATGACTGAACTGCAAATTCAATTCTTTTCCCAGCGAATGGAATGGTTAATCATTAGATGCAACAGATTTTTCTTAATTCTGAAAATATTTCTTCAAATATTAACTCATCCTAGCACCTACACATTGTTGGCCAAACCGAGTCCGGATTTGCTAAAGCTGAAGATCTCAATTTCACGGTGAAGTTGACCCATTATCAGACTAACTTGGACTCACTTTGGTAACCTAAACCATTCATCTTATACAACTAAGAAAATTATTCATGTAAAAAATCAAGTTGATCCAACATCAATTGTCATTCTATTAGATCATTTTTGTCTATACGGCCTACATGTTTTTAAGTGCATGTTCTTCTTAGCTTATCATATGAGATGAATAGTTTAGATCATTGATTTAAGTACAATGCTCCAACTTTACTCGTGAAGTTGAAATGTTCAACTTTATCAAATCTGAACTCGGGCCAAACCTAGGTGATTGGCTAATTACCTACAGGCTCTAGACTACATGAGGCTCAGCAATTCCTTGATAACAACTATGATTATCAAAAAAACACAAGAAAATCATACACTTAAAAAAAAAAAAAAAAATCTGAAGAACCTGATGAATTTTATCAATAACCTATCACAAGATAGGGATCTTTCATCCATTTATTTAGCACTTCGACACTTCAAAATTTAGAGTCCAGAACTCCTAGGTTAATATGCGCAAGTGTTCTCATGGCATGGTATAAGAAAGGAAAATTTCGATCCAAAATATACAAGGGACAAAAAAGTGAGTTAAATGTAAAACTAATTACCCAATTTACAAAGTAAATCATACCCGCCCCCAGGGGAGGGGAGGGAGGGGGATGGATGGGGTTGATCCAATGAGAATGAACCATCTAATATGACCATTTTATTGGTTGTATTGTATTCATAAACAATTTAAACAAATACAAGAAAGATGTCAAACCCACATCCTATATAAGTGCGCACACGTGCATGTGTAATCTAATTTTTTTCAAAAGCAGCAAGTGTGTGAAGAGATAAAACAGGATCACGAAGAAAGGCATGCAACTCAAATGATGAACATACCTCGAAACCAATTACTGACAGCTTCTCTTCGTTAATCGGTGGTATACAGCTTCTGTAAGTAATATAAGGTTGTGACCCACCCACTGATGTGGATGAATCAGCAAGTAAGCTTCTCTGTCTTATTGAAGTATATGACTCTTCTGCATTGTGCAACATCACATGTAGTTTTTCTTTGGCACTATTGTTTTCAAGAGTGGACCGATTTGGCTGAGCTTTTTTGCTGTTTACTTGATTTGTACCAGCTTCAATTTTCACACATTTCAAAGGAATACGATAACCAGTTTCACTGCAGCGATATTTTTCATCATTCTACAAGAAAACATGCAACACAGCAACTAAGTAAGAATGTGACACAGATAAGAAGCAAAATGGATGTCACAAAATTTAGAATGGGTGCTGTGTTTATTAATCTTTATAACATGGATGCTATAGTCCGTTTTTTTTGTTTTTATTTTTATTTTTATAGATGTATTAGGCGGAAAAAAAAAGGGGAGGGGGGGGGGGGGGTGAGGGGGGAAGGCTCCAGGGGGGGTGCCCAACCCATTTGATTATATTAGACAAAGAAAGGTTGATTATAAGTTTAACATATATACTAACCGAACCCTGCAAATAGGTTTACTTTCTTTGTATTCCCAGACTACATTTTTAAATCTCTCCTAACTAAATTTGTAAATTGTCAGGACTAGTATACCACTGATACAACAAATGCCTTCCATATTGATAACTAAGCAGCAGTCTTGTTTTTTGGAATGTGTACTATTGCACAGCATATATAAAAACACGTAGAGATAAAATATGAAAAATGTCTGTATGGACTAGGCTACAAAAACTAGAGTGCAGATTACACCATTCAAATTAGATGGCCAACTTTTTCAGTGTCCTAATCAGTACATATGATCTTCAGTGGGAACCAAAAACTGGTCATGCTAAAGATGTGAACAACGAATTACCACAAAAACATCACACACAACTGTCATTGCAAAGGAAGGAGTAGCAAACTTGCCATTCAGAATCATATCATAGACATAATAGCTATCAAATATATTTTCCCTTTCAAAATCCATTTAACAGAAATAGCTTAAGAAACATAGCTGTTGCAAAACCAGACCTTTTCTACCTCACCACATTGGCATTCATGTGCTCTGGATGCATCTAGAAGAAGAAACGTAAGGCAAAATAGAGGCAACCCCATGCATGAGACTCCTGCTAAAGCAGGGTCTGGGGAAGGCAAGCTAACGACAATTACTAATTTATTAAAAGCCATTGTTAACTTAATATGCAGCATGCAGCCATCTATGAGACAACTGCCAAGAAGTTGATATGGAAAAGTGACAAGGAACATACAAATTAAATATGAAAAACAGGGGGCAAAATTCATTTTACATCCTTGTGGTTCAGCCCATGTGTGGATTACCTCCTATCATTTAGAAATAACCACAGGTTCGTGGATTGAAGTGTGCTACCAGTCATACTGTCCAAGTTAACAACAAGTGTGAAACACTTGTCACTGCCAGAACATGAGGAGGCTATGTGCTTATTTCCGAATGTCATGGAGTAAAGCACAAGGGGTTAAAGTTAACTTTGCCTCCTAATGAAATGACAAAAATGTCCATGGTTTGGTTCACACAATGAGGTTACTTATTTATAAGGGTATTTTAATATTTTCTCCCAAGTCCTACGGGCCTAATAGTAGACTTTAGTCCACAAACCACATGGGGGTTATGTGTTTATTTCTAAATGATAGAGGGTTATGTGAACATAGGCCAAACCACGAATAAAGTGGAATATGCCCCAAAAAACGCAAGTCTACTGAATATTGTAGCATAAAATGTGATCTTGGTGAGCAGATTGCAAAATGAAGGTAAGAAAAATAATTTAAAAATCCTAGGATGCAAATTAATAAGAGATCTCATGGTTGGACATGAGTGACAGGATTTTGTTGGTATTGGATAAATCCTTTAACCAAGCTGATTAATTTGTAGTATAAAGGCAACTACATTAACAAGAATAGTGAAGGGGAAGTGTGAGTGTAAGTAATCACTTCGGAAATGTGTAGAGAAGTCCTACGATAAAATAATGAAGCTAATGGCCTCATTTTTTCTTCATCTTGATGATCACAATGTCGCTACTCTCCACATTAATGACAATTAACCTATTTATACATCAAAGGTTCAAACAAACAATGGCCTCGTTTGGGAAGTTTGCTATTTTGGTAGACTATTTTAGTTTTTAGCTATTTTAGTAGGTCAAAATATTTGTGTTTGAGAAGATAGTTGGATTTTTTTGTAGTTGGATATGATGTTTGTGAGAGAAAAAAGTGAAATGATTATGGCTTTGATGTCAGTTAGGAGCTTTTTCTTGTTGTCTTCTCACTGTTTTGTATTTAGAGGATGCCTCATCCTCTTCTCTCCTTTTTCAATTTTATTAATAAAGCTTTTGTTGTTGATAAAAAAAAAAAAAATTTATGGCTTTGATGTGACATTTTGTCTTATTGGTTATTTTATCTTATTTTGTCTTTTTGTGGATTTTGGCAACAAAAAAAAAAAAAAACCTAAAATTTGCTTCCTGAACACCCCTAATATATCACTCATTGTTTACCAAAATTTCAATAATGCAAGGCAAGTAGGGCTAGTAGGCAAGGCTTCAAATAATTTTATTCCTTATTATATTAGTAGTTCAAAAATAAAATATCAAAAAAATAGGGCAAATTACATATACTTCCCTCGAGATTTAGCTAAATTACAGATACCCCCTTGAGGTTTCAAAAATTATAGATACCCCCTGAGGTTTATATTTTCATAACAAATTGCCCCCTGAAGTTTATATTTTCATAACAATTTACCCCCTAATTTGTTATGCAAATAGTACCTTTAGGGGGGTATCTGTAATTTCTCAAACCTCAGGGGATATCTATAATTTTGCTAAATTTCGAGGGGGGTATATGTAATTTGCCCAAAAAAGTAAAAAAATAATATTATTTGAAAGTAATGAATGGTTGTTTCCCAAATGCATGGATTGTTTATAGAATATTATTAATTATATAAGTTACAATTGCTTCTACCAAAAGAAACTTTTCAAAGTTGAAGTTGATCAAATCTTACATTACGTCAAACATGTCACAACAAAGATTGGGGCCAATCCCTCTCCTCCGAAAACCCTATCTCTCTCTCTCTCTCTCTCTCTCTCTCTCTCTCTCTCAATCCTTCATCCCTACACCCCGAGCATCACTACTGGCTGGCCACGGTTGGCTGCCCTCTCTTTCTCTCTGCATGGTTGTGCATTTTCTTTTCAATAAACTTGAACCCTCATAGTATTTCCCACCATCTTCTCAACTAATCTAGTCTTTAGATTTGCTTAGGGTGTTTTTTGTTCTTTAGTTTTGATGTTGGGTGTTCGATTTTGGGAGTTTGCTAGGGGTATTTAGGTTATGGGCAATGTTTTGAAAAGTGGTTGCAGTCGCCGTAACGGCTGCAGTGATGTGATAGCGGTTGCGAGGTGTAAAGGCCGTAGCGTAACGGTTGCAGTAACCGGAACCGTAATTTTTTTTAAATTTTTTGCACAATTTGAAGAAACCTTACCGATGCGAATATATATATATATATATATGTTTTTTCATAATCACATTATTGGAGTTTAAAATAAATTTTGATCAATTTTTGTTAATTTTTAAATATGATCCGATATATTTCATATTTTCAAATCATTATAAGAGGAGTTTTTTACATTTTATTTTAATAGTTAATGATTTTAAGAATAATTGATTTTAAATGTCTACAAATTATTTTTTATCAATACCTAAATTTACTATTCACAATTATAAATTTGTGCCATAAATTAAAAAAAAAAATTATAAAGAAAAAAAATGCATATAAGATTTTTTCTTTAGGTTTGGATCACTTAAGTATTTGTTCTTTTTTTGTAAGTTTTTGTTTTGTTTTTTTTTTTTTTTTTGGAAAAAGAAAGCTATTCAGAATATTGTAAAAGGGTGCAATGGTATCTAATGGACTGTTGCAGCCGTTACGGTACACCAAAACGGCCGTTACATGTGAATTTCCTTCACACCGCTATAGCGGCCGTAACGGGCATCACAACCGTTATGTAACAACATAACGGTTGTGGCCACTTTTTAAAACCTTGGTTATGGGTGGTAGCAGTTAGGGAGGAAAGGGAGAGGTGGTTTTAGACCTATCATTTTCGGCGGACTCAAATCTCTCATTTCTGACAGTCGACGGTTCCAAATATCTTTGAATGGGTGTTGTTTGGGTGTATGGATGTTGTATGGGTGTAGTTTGGTGGTTGATGGGCTTAGATTGTGTTCTAGATCTACAGTTTTCAGTGGTTTCAGATGGGTGTTGTTTGGGTGTTCGGCGGCTCCATATATACCATGGTGAGGAGCGACGTAGGTGTGAGAGGGTTTATGTAGTGGTGGTAAAGGCGAAACATGGGAGAAGTTTAGGGGCTATAGTGGCAAAATAGGGGAGCTCCAACAAAGAATAAGGAGCAAGTTGTTTGCAAAGAAGTTGGGTTTACATCGTAGTGCTGTTTGCAGCAGGTTTTGTTTGCAAGCATAGGAAGAGGAGTTTAAACAAAGTGTCTTCTTTAGGGGTGGAAGGGTTGTGCGTGTTCTTGTTCTGCAGTGGGCGAGTGGGAGTTTCAGCAAAGCATTGCGGGGAATAATTTTTTGACACAGACATGCGGCAGAATTTTTTGGAGGCTTCAAATATTTTGGATTGTGCAGTTAAGATCTTCTTAAGTTTTTTTTTTTTTTTTTTTTTTTTTTTTGTTTTTATTTATTTATTTTTTTTATATATATATTTATTGTAGTTGCTTTGTTTTGTTTTGTTGTCTTTAATTTAAAAAAACTCATGAGGCCGAGGGGTTGGTTCTAAGGATGCAAGCTGCAGTAGTAGGGGAGTTTGCACTCTCCAAATCTCTCTTGGTGCATTTTATTTCCTTGTACTTTATTTTGCCAACCAAAAAAATGTCACGAGAAAGATTGAATATAATAGTTATGTTATCCATTGAAAATAATATGGTAGATAAGCTAGATTATGCAAGATCAATTAGTAATTTTACCACTAAAAATGCAAGAAAAGTAATGTTTAAGTGATACCAAACTACAGTTGATGGATACCAAGACCATATTTTTATCTTTTTGAGTTCTTGTATACAAATTAAGTGCTTTAATATTCAAGCAACTTTATGTTGATACTAGGAAGTAGGCAATGCAAAATCTAGAATGATAATATAATTGTTCCAAGTCTGCTTTAAAAATAAGCATTGTCAAGCAAGACAGAATTCACAATCACAACAATCAACTAAGTTTCAGCATATTTCAATCAACACAAATCAATTCAATACAGAAACTACTCTAACACACATTCAAATAACCCTAAAACTCATCAAATTGAACTGATATCGATCCAATTAATTAGGAAAAACTTGAAATGAGAGAGAAACCTTTTCGGAGTAAACGCAGGCAACACAGGGTCCAGAAGGAGAGCAATCGAAAGTGACGTTTCCACCAGAAGGGGTTTCCTTGAAACCCATCAGAACTCGACGCCCTCTGATTCCTACTTCTTCTTCTTCTCTTCTTCCTCTACTTCTGCGCAAAATTCAAATCAAAATCAAAATACAAGCTTTGAATTCACTTGTTTCAATCATTAATCTACAAAATAAAACAGAGAGAGAGAGAGAGAGAGGTGTTTTTACGATTCATGCCCTAATGCGAGATCGGTAGATAAGGAGAACAGAGAGAGAAGAAATAGAAGAAACGATGACAAGTTTGAAGAAGAAGCCATGGCTTTGCTTGTTGCTTCTCTCTCCTCTCCTCCCTCCGATTCTTACAGAAGGGGAAGATACACAACACCAGCCATGAACCAAGCCGGGCCCGGTTCAGCCCGGGTCTATGTTATTAAAAAAAGAAAAAAGAAGAAGGGTAAATTACAAATATACCCCTATATTTGTTTAAAATACAATTGTCCCTTATAGTTTTGAAATTATATTTGTTTCTTGAAATTTTTAATTTTATAACAAATGACCTTAAGTTAATTCTATTAAGGCCACTTTCAGGAAGGCAAAAAAACAAAGAAAAGAAAAAAAAGAAGCCAATTTATTGATTTATTTAGATCATATTATCTCTCTAATTTTTTGTAAATTTTTTTTTCATAATAAGGCCTCATTTGGCATGTAACAATTTTAATCTAAAAGTCAAAAAATTATTAAAAAAATCAAAAAGTCTATAAAATATTCAAAAAAAGTCAAAGATTTTATTTTCTCTTTACTTTTTGCAGTTCTTTTCATAAAAAATTAAAAAGTCATTCTAAACATACTAGTTACTTTTATCTCATATTTTAGTCAAAAAACTAAAAAATTACTTAAATAGTTTATTCTCAAATAAGACCTAAGTCAATAAAAAAGTCACTTTTCAAAATAAGCCTAAATAATAAAATCTCACAAGAGATTATTTATAATTTTTTAAATTACAGAAATCAATTCTTATTTTAAATAATTTTCAAAAAATGTATTTATAATTTACCAAAAAAATGAATACAAAATTCGGCCTAAAATGATATTTTATGATCCCAGTGCAAAACCATTAAATATTTCAATAAAAATAAATAAATAAATAAGATTATGATTTCAATAAAAAAAAAAATAAGATTACAATTTTTTTTGGGTAATATTTCTTTAAAAGAAAATTATTATTTTACTATTAAGGGTAGTTTTGGAAATTAACTATTTTAGTTAATTAATTTATTTTTTTTAACAAAAAATCGTAAAAAATAAAATAAAAAAAGAATTGATTTTTTCATTTTTTAACTAAGTGATTGTCAAAACACTTCTAAATAACCACTTCTAAATAACTACTGTAAATCATTTTAGACAAAACTATCCCCACTTGCCAATCACGTTTCAACAACATTTTTCACAATTCTTGACTCATTTGAAATTTTTTTAACTCAATTATAACTTTTGATTTGGATTTTATATATATATTTCAAATTGTTTCATTAAGATTTACTACAAGACAAGATGTATGATATATATGAAAATTCTTTAAAAAAATATTGACCAAATTTTACTATGTTCTATGTTAAAATGAAATTTCACCTCAAACAGTGATTCACTATCAAATTGTCATTATCTTCACTTTGTTAAACACAATGAAATTTTCACTATGTTGAACGCAGTAAAAATTTCATTGTCCTCACCATAGTAAAGTTTTCAATTAATGGTTAAATTAGGTCCTCATTTTCAAATTAAAGGCTTCAAAGTAAAATTTTGAAAACAAAGAAATTATACTGTTTTAGCACAATGTTTTTTGTGTAAAAAAGCACACTGCTTGTTGCTTTGAACAAATAAGAATGGTGGACGTGTATCCACTGAAAAATAAAGATAAAAAATACCTAAAAATGATTGCAAAATAAGGAACATTTTTCCTTACAAAACTTAGTTAAAAGTGTGACTGAAATTCGTTCAGTATGCACTTCTTGTAGGATATGTATCATATATATCTTATTATATAACTAGTATATGCCCGTGCCTAAAGGTATGGTGTAAATAATATTGAGATTAAAATGTAGATGTGATTTGTACGTATCATATTAAAATTAGTAGAGTCTGTAGCGCCTCATAAAAGTTCAAGTCAGCACTCCTACCATTAGTTTGTGGCTAACACCTAATACATTGGTGAGTGTCATAGTATCCCGAACCACAAATATCTGATTGAAATAATATAATTCATAGAACATAAATACCATAACTTCGCAAATAGTAGTCTTTAGAAATTGTTTACAAATTAAGATACGGAAATCAAATATTTTGAAATAATTTTCCTATCAAGATACGGAAAGTATTGAAAAACTAAATGCATCATATCATAAAGAAGAAATCAACTTTATGCTATAGCATCCCAACAATATAGCAATACATTTTTCATAAAACCGCTTATGAAAAACCACTTAAATGGTAAAAAAAATAATTCCTGCAACTCCATCTAGTTTGTCAAATTAATGTGAAAATCATCAATTACATCAATTATAGAATACAAATTGTTGCTTTGCAAAATAGACTAATTAAAAAGATTTTAAAGTCATCTAATAGCCATCAAGTATTGCTAGTATCAATACTTGAAAGAAAATGTATAGTAAGAAGAGTAAATTAAATAAGAAAAATTATAATATGTGATAACTTCACAAAATATTTAAAAACTCACTGATTTGTAATTTTCTCAATGAAGTAAGAAGATGAGTAAAGAGAGTCCATATTATAGTTTGGTGCAAATCTCCATCATCTTATGAAAATAAAAGAGAACATAATTTTATACAAAAGGGAGAAAAAAAAAATGTATACAAAGTAGTGACAACTGACATGTTCAAAGTAGTGACAACTTACATGTCCAAAATAATAAATCAACTTACATGTCCAAAGTAATAACTCAATTGTAATAAACTAATTCAAAATAAAAGATCAAGTCAGTACTCTTACCATTAGTTTGTGGCTAAGACCTGATACATTGGTGAGTATCACAATACCTCAAACTACAAATATCTGATTGAAATAATATAAAACAGACAACATGGTGTATAACCTGACAAATAGTAGTCTATAGAAATTGTTTACATATGAAGATACAGAAATTAAATCTCAAAGAATAATTTTCCAATCAATCTGAAGAAAGTAGTGACACCTCAACAAAAAATAGACAATCTATATAACAAAACACACGAATCGTCACCCTAAAATAGTGAATTTTGCAGTCAATTGTAAATTGAAAAACTAAATGCATAGCATCCCAGTAATAAAACCGCTTATGAAAAACTGCTTAAACGGTGAAATTTAATTTTGTAAAAAAAATAATTCCTGCAACTAATCTAGTGTGTCGAATTAATGTGAAAATCATCAATTACATCAACTATAGACAACTTTAGAATAGAAATTGTTGCTTTAAGAAATAGCCAAATTAAAAAGATTTAAAGTCATCCAATAGCCATCAACTGATCTTAACATGTTTTCCTCCTCTAATCTTAACATAGTCCCATTTCCTTGATCTTAGCATATTCCCCTCCTCTAGTTTTACTACCTTCTTCGAAGCACTTGAAAAAAAATGAGCACACATGTTTTCCCTTGCCAACTGAACCATATTTTTTAAATAATCAACCCCCAAGTAGAAAGAACACTAGGACAACAAAGGCAATATACTATGGTTATGTTGTGTTTTATTTTTATTGATAAAATAAAAGAGAGACATCATAATAAAACGTCAATTTCCAGTTCATGTTATATCAAATCCATTTAACCAAGTCAACAATATCCAAGACACATGTCAAAACATAGAGTTGTAATTGAATATACCAATCAAGTAAAGGGTTGAACACATGACTTTTAGGTGTAATTAAAACATGATTTCTTTCATAAACACTGCAAGTAAACCCAAACAAATTTGTTCCAAAAGAAACAAAAACAAAAACAAAAACCAAAAAGTAAACTAACCAAAAATAGAGCTCCCCGGTTAAATTTTTTAAAAAATAATAAATAAATAAATAAATGAATAAATAAATAAATAAATAAAAATAGAAGTAATAAATAGACCAAGCAACCATATGACATATTGCAGTGCACCCTAAACAAATGTTATGCAATAGGAAATGACAATATTAAATCTTAAAAAATTTCATGAACTAAAAAAAAAAAAACTTACACAATTTCATTCTCAATGAAAACCAATTACTCTATTAAAGAATCTAGATACCTTTAATGGGTTAACATGCTGTAATGAAATGCTACAAACAGATATTGCAACAAAAACAAAAAACAGTTTAAATAAATTAATAGGTACCAAAAATATATTGCTCAAATCCGCCCTAGCACAATCTATAAATTGTGCATTTATAAGTACAAAAGGAAAACAAAAGGTATAGAGTTTCAAAATCAGAATAATATCAAACAATAGTAATTTTTCAAAAGGAGCATGAGAAACAGCTGACCTTAGATACATTTTATTGGTACAAAGGAGCATGAATCCTGTTCTAAGAAAGAAACATGTTCTAGATGAGAAATCAAACACACCTAAAAACACCCATATAGAGATGTTCCAATTTAACGTGTGCATCTTTAGACAAAAATAAAGCCATTAAATTAACTGGAAGCAAAAAACTAAAATATGATTTGCCACTACATAATCCAAACAAGCATTATATTAAACACACTTAAATCAAACTTAGCTATACTGGAAATGCAAAAATATAGGGGAATAAAAGGCTTCACAAAAATATTTGAAATGCAACAAAGTCCACATAGGTGGAAAGCTTTACAAAAAGTGGGTCATAGCTATCGTCTACTTTACAAAATGTGTATACTTTACAAAAATATGTATTTGATAATGTCTTCAAATTTGTTCTTTCCCACAATTCTTACAAACGCCTCATCAATTTCCGAAAGGTCTTCATAACAAAACTTCAGGGTAAACAATATTTGTAGTGGAATTTGGCTCATCATTGGGGAGGAAGATACTTATACGATCGAAAGATGTGCATCTGGATAATGCCACATATAGTTGCCCATGACTAAAAACAGGTGTACGCAAATCAACCCCAACAAATTTCACAGATTGTCCTTGAGATTTATTAATGGTCAAGGCGTATGCCAATCGAATTGGAAATTGACGTCTTGTCATTCGAAAAGGCATTTCTGCAGAAGACGGAGTCAATGATATCCTTGGTATAAATTGCCAAATTGCCAAACTTCTCTCCAGTTAAGATTCAAGTTTCAATTATGCGAGTGTCGCACCTTGATACCATCAATCTTGTGCCATTACACAGTCCATCTTTCGGTGCAATGTTTCTTAATAACATTACAGGACAGCCCACTTTCAACTCTACCTTAAAAGCTGG